CACTCGTGTGTTTGATTAATGAAGAAACCACAATGAATGTTTCCACACCAATTCCTTCTCTTAGTCTGCATTGCCGTAAATCTGGAGATACGCTTCAATAGTCAATGTGATTGTGATTTAAAAACGCGCCGATTTTTAACCAATCGATTTTACATCGATAGCGAGAGATAACCCCTAATGAGTTGTCTTAAGAGTACATTAGTCCAAGGAGCTTAGTGACATGACCACATCAGCACCTAAGACTGAGAAAATGCCTTCCTTAATAAAACACTATGTTCTGCCTACATAGACATTCGACCGCGAAAAAAAACAAAGTTCTAATCCGCACTTTAGACACACAAATCCATTCCAATCAAGAAAGAAGGAGAAAGGAAGGGAGGGAGGGGGGGGGGGTAGAAAAGGAGGAGGCATCTACAAAAGTTTGAGAGCACACAGGAAAATTAAAATCAATCTAACCACACAAGGAAATCGTACAAGGGGGGGGGGAATAAGTTACTTCAAAACTTCACAGTAGTCCAACCACTTCCATCCACGTGTGTTGTTGTTACAGTGGGTTCATGGTGATGGTGATCATGACTACAATTATGGTGATTTTGCTCTTTGGTGGTTTCCGACAATGTTGATTTTGAATACCGTGAGATGGTGTCCAAATGGAGATTCAGAACTTCCATGTGCTGGTAGAAGTCATTCTTCTCTAGTTGGATTGTGAGATGAGTGATTTGATCTCGTTTCAGAAGGTCCTTAACTCGAGATAAAACTACTTGCTCTACAGCCTCTGGAGCTATCCTTAGTCGCAGAGAACAGCATATTGAATCTTCCGTATTTTGCCAAATGCAAGGGTTCACAACTTCCAGGACATGTTCCACCTGTAGCACTTTCTTTAAGATGCGTTGAGAATTTGCTGGATGACTATTAGAAGGCGCTCGAAGAGCGAGGACTAAGAGGGTGTCTTTAATAAGTGGCAAAGCTGAATAGGTTATGAAACCGGAGATAAATAGGGAGCAAATAGGATCAGCAATATTCCACCCATAATTGGTGACAAAGAATGAGCTAATAATGACTCCCACACTGCCAAGAGTGTCAGCCAAGACGTGAAGGTAGACACCCCTGAGATTGCTGTCTCCCGAGGCGTCTTCAAAGTCGTGGTCATCACAATTGTCGTGAGCGTCTGTTAGACCGTTGGCAAGAGGGATACTGACTGCTGTGGCTTCTGAACAGTTGCCAGAGGAGCCATGGCTGTGGCCATGTCCATGACCCCCACCCCCGTGGGAATGTCCATGACCTCCACCTCCGTGGGAATGCCCATGACCCCCACCGCCATGAGAATGACCATGGGAACCACCACCGTGTGAATGAGTGTGCCCAAGGGCAAACATACCCACCAAATTCACCAGAAGGCCTCCTACTGAGACAGCCTATAAGGCAAAAAATGGAATTAAGTAATGAGTTGCACCATCTAAATGACATATTCATACTCTAACGCAAAAACAGTATTTCTGAATTACAGAAGGTGCAGCAATTAACTAAGTCGGAAAATCAGAGTCCCAAAGGGAAAAATGGTTTAAGTCGCCTTTGATGAATAAAGGAGAAAGGAAATCTCTTCCAAGTACCCAACTTGTACAATCTCACATTTCTTCTAGGTAGACACACTTAGTAGAAGAGTATAGAGCCTATTAAATTAAGTAGTACAAGTGGATGAGTAACGAACCTTAGAGCACAAATGATTCTCTACGCATGCTTAATGCCGCCATGAAGAAAGGAAGATGGACACACACACACACACACACACAAGCGGAGTTACCGATCTGAGAAGCTTAAAACAAAGCAAAGAAATCAAGTTGATTCAAGCTAGAGCAGCCACCACCAAAAAAGCCTCAAGGTCAAAAATGTTATTTGAGTAGTATAGAAGACATTGAGCTGTGCGTGGAGCCAAATGTGGCATTTTGAATTATCCCCCCCCCTCCCCCACCGCCCCAAGCACGCGCCTCGGTATTAACTAGGCGCCCAAAGCAATATTTTAAGTCAAGAGAATTGATTAGGAATTGAATAAGACGCACAGGAGAGTGGAATAATAAAACTGGTGCACCCTGGGCAACGTATATTCATACGGCAAAAGAAGTCTATTGACTGGCAGTTGACTTCTCACTTCAAACTACCATCACCTCACTCTATGCCATATTCGACTATTTTCACAGTACTCACCTCACCTTTGTTCTACCTTGGTCTTTGAAGCACTCTTCTGTTCACCCCCCTCCCCTCTCGACTTTTTTCACTTTGATGTTCCTTCCCCTCTGTGAAGCCTGAAGTCAACTAAAGGGCTAATGATTACTTTCCCAACGCCTGCCATTTGATATAAATAAATAAATATGTATACCGTGGAGTTCTTTGTGCAGAAAATATAAGATAGTCCTTAATTTGCCCACAATAGGATGAATACGGGAAGGTGACCGCAAGCATAATTGAATAAGTGTTAGCACGATAAATAATTATAGGGAAATTTCGTGTATTGATATAAAAATTGACGCATACGANTGTATGTCATATTCGATTACTTCCATAGTACT